CCAAATCACCGAAGATCTTAGCGCCGAACGGACGGCACCTCCGCGTTCAACACACGTACGGAGCGAGGACGTCTCCCGCGCCTTGATCCAGCAAGGAGGAGGGAGAGGTTGAGGAAGAGGGCTCCAACAGCAGCACGACGACGTGGTGGTGGTGAAGCAGCAGTACTCCGGCAAGGCTTCGCCAAGCTCTTACGAAGGAGGAGAGGTGTTAGGGAAGGAAGGGGCTGCGCCTTGGATGTTGTATGAAGCCCTTCCCTTGCCCCTCTATATATAGGGGAAGGAGGAAGGGGGCCGGCCCCCTCTAGATGAGATCTAGAGGGGGGGTGGCCAAGGGGAGGGGGCTTGCCCCCCAAGCAAGGGGGGCGCCCCCTTTAGGGTTTCCCCCCAACCCTAGGCGCATGGGCCCAAAGGGGGATGCGCCCAGCCCATGTAGGGCTGGTTCCCTTTCCTCAACAGCCCATTAGGCCCTCCGAGAGAGGTGGTCCCTCCCGGTGGACCCCCGGAACTCCTTCGGTGGCCCCGGTACAATACCGATACGCCCCCGAACATTTCCGGTGACCGTATGACAACTTCCTACATATAAATCTTCACCTCCAGACCATTCCGGAACTCCTCGTGACGTCCGGGATCTCATCTGGGACTCCGAACAATATTCGGTAATCACATACAAGTCTTCCTAATAACCCTAGCGCCATCGAACCTTAAGTGTGTAGACCCTACGGGTTCGAGAACCATGCAGACATGACCGAGACAACTCTCCGGCCAATAACCAACAGCGGGATCTGGATACCCATGTTGGCTCCCACATGTTCCATGATGATCTCATCGGATGAACCACGATGTCGAGGATTCAAGCAATCCCGTATACAATTCTCTTTGTCAATCGGTACGTTACTTGCCCGAGATTCGATCGTCGGTATCCCAATACCTCGTTCAATCTCGTTACCGGCAAGTCACTTTACTCGTTCCGTAATGCATGATCCCGTGACCAACTACTTAGTCACACTGAGCTCATTATGATGATGCATTACCGAGTGGGCCCAGAGATACCTCTCCGTCATACGGAGTGACAAATCCCAGTCTCGATTCATGCCAACCCAACCGACACTTTCGGAGATACCTGTAGTGCACCTTTATAGCCACCCAGTTACGTTGTGACGTTTGGTACACCCAAAGCACTCCTACGGTATCCGAGAGTTGCACAATCTCATGGTCTAAGGAAATGATACTTGACACTTAGAAAAGCTCTAGCAGACGAACTACACAATCTTGTGCTATGCTTAAGATTGGGTCTTGTCCATCACATCATTCTCCTAATGATGTGCCCGTTATCAATGACATCTAATGCCCATAGTCAGGAAACCATGACTATCTGTTGATCAACGAGCTAGTCAACTAGAGGCTCACTAGGGACATGTTGTGGTCTATGTATTCACACATGTATTATGGTTTTCGGATAACACAATTATAGCATGAACAATAGACAATTATCATGAACAAGGAAATATAATAATAATCATTTTATTATTGCATCTAGGGCATATTTCCAAGAGGTGTTTGGTAAAATAAACCGAGTTTTTCTTAAACATCAGTGTTTGTCTCTATAGGAGGGGTACCTGATTAAGGCCCAGTTCTTTTCAGCTTTCAATTCTTGCCCACGGAATCTGATGTCCAGTTCTTTTCTTAAATTCCAATCTAAGATTGTAGGATGAGTTGTGTTTTGACATGTTTGTAATGTCCCCGTACTAAAATTGTGTGCTAAATTGCTAACACTTAGTTGTTTCGAACAGTTACTCGTCGAATATGAGCATGAAAATGAATATCATAGAGTGCTAAATATTACAATTAGAGTGGTTGTAAAGTTTCTTTCCGTGCAGAAGGGGTCAACTACAAATAGAAGGAATAATCTCAATGTATAAGACTGACAGTAATAGACATTCATCAATTTAACACCATTGACACCGGCCATCGATTTAGCAGAGAGGAGGAGGGCATGGGAGACAAGGAGCCAAGGAGGAAGAGCAACTCGAGGGAAGAGGTGGCCTCCGACGAGCTCATGCGAGGGCCGGCCGAGTTCCGGCGAGGCGAGGCCAGAGCCGCCGAACGAGATCGGGCGAGCTCCGGCGAGGCGAGGCCGAAGGTGCTTGGCGAGACCGGGGCGGTGGCCGGCGCTGGAGGGAACTCAGTGGCGGTTGGGAATGGAGGGAACCTAGTGGCGGCTGGAGTCTAGCAAGAGAGAAAGAAAAACCGTCTGACACGATTGTTTTCGTGCATGCGGTGGTGTTCGGTGAGCGTGGCATATTGGATGTAATTCCAAGCTCTAAGGGGTAGCAGCTTAATTCGAACCATTTTCTTTTGCGGGAGCTCGTAGAATCACTAGAATCATGGGTTTGAGCCAATTTTTCATTGCACTGATTCTGATGATTCTCGGAAAATTTTGAAGAAGCAGTTTAGGGCTCTTTTCAGCTTATTGATTCTTCAAACTCAATTGTTGGGAATCACCAGAAAAGAACTGGCCTTACATATTATTTTTTCTAAGCACCCTGCATTGTACGAGGTCTAAGAGCATCTCCAGCCGCGCCCCCAACAGGCCCCCTAGGCCACTTTTCCGGCGCCGACGCCAAAAAAACGCCCCAGTCGCGCTCCCATGACGCCGAAAAGTGCCGGTTCGGCCCGTTTTTGGGCCCGATGATCGCAGACCGAACCCGGCGCACTGGGGGGCGATCAGGGGCTCCGGCGCAAGGGAAAAGCGCGGCTGGCCCACACCGTCAGGCGAAAAGTTTTCTTCCCCGACTCGCCTCCCGCCCCTCGCGCCCTTGGCCGCCACTAGCAGTATCCCGGCGCCACCCGCCACCCTTCACCGCTAGATAGTCAATCCCCGCCGGAAAAGTAGCAAAGGTTTGCCGAGGCAGCCCCTCCACCAGCAGCTGGGCGATTCCGGCCGCAGAGGGGCAGTTTAGCGGCAGGGTACACGCCCATCGGGCACAAGGTGTTCGGCGATTTGCCTGCCTCGGTGATGGACTCGGATGACGAGGAAGCGTTCGCCGCGCTGCTGGAGGAGGAATCCGAGGCCGACGTCCAGAAAGAAGAGCATCTCATGGTGCTCGCCGCCCTCGCCCAGCTACTGGCGATCAATGAAAAGCCGCGGCGAGGTGGCTCGGCGCCGGGGCGGGTGAAAGCAAAGAACCGACATCGTCTCGAAGGCTACTGCATGCTCTACTCCGACTACTTCGCCGATGCTCCACTTCACGGCGACAAAACATTTCGGCGCCGTTATCGAATGAGCCGAAAGCTATTCCTTAGGATTGTGAATTCCATCCGGGAGTTCGACGGCTACTTCAAGTGCAAGAAGGATTGCACCGGCAAACTTGGATTCACCTCGATCCAGAAGTGCACAACAGCGATGAGAATGCTTGCATACGGAGCTCCCGATGATTCACTTGACGACTATGGGCGCATGGCCGAGTCCATTAGCATTGAGTGTTTCTACAAGTTCTGTCGGGCAGTGGTGGCAGTGTTTGGACCGCAATACTTGAGAACATCCAATGCGGAAGACACTGCTCAGATCCTAGCACAGAATGCAGCAAGAGGATTTCCTGGGATGCTTGGAAGCATCGACTGCATGCATTGGAAATGGAAGAACTGCCCATTTGCTTGGCAGGGATGTATAAAGGCGCCAAAGGCGGTTGCAGTGTGGTACTTGAGGCGGTGGCCACACAGGACCTCTGGATTTGGCACTCCTTTGGTATGCCAGGAACTCACAATGACATCAACGTGCTGCAGTGCTTCCCTGTCTTTGCCAAACTTGTTGAAGGTCATTCTCCTCCGGTGAACTTCGAGATCAATGGGCGGCACTACAACAAGGGGTACTACCTAGCTGATGGCATCTATCCGAGATGGTCTACATTTGTGAAGACTATCTCAAACGCTGTGCCAGGAGATAAGAAGTCCTACTTTGCCAAGATGCAGGAGGCTTGCAGGAAGGATGTCGAGCGGGGTTTTGGTGTGCTCCAATCTCGATTTGCCGTTGTCCGCTATCCTGCTCAGACCTGGTCAAAAGATCAAATGTGGGAGATCATGACTTGCTGTGTCATCTTGCACAACATGATCATCGAGAGCGAGCAGGAAGAGCCAGTGTTTGACACTGAACCATACTACATGCAGGGTCCTCTAGCCGAAGTTGATCACCAGCTACTGGCAACCTGGACTGCCTACCTCAGTGTGCGTCAGGAGATCTGAGACCCACAGGTGCATCATCAACTGCAGCAGGATCTGGTGGAGTACATATGGAGGCTCAAGGGCGACGCCGGGCTCGACGTGTGATGAAATATGAATTTTTATTTGTTGAACTATTTGTTGTTGCACTATTTTATTGAACTATTTGATTTTCTGTGATGAACTATGTGATAAAAAAATTTATGTTCATAATTGAACGCCGAGCCACGACGAACCACGCCGAATATGGACCGATTCTTGCTCATATGAGGTATTTATTCGTCGAAAGTGGGCTAAAAATTGGGCCAATCTCGACGCCTGGGGGCAACGAATGGACGTCCAATCGCCCCCAACGCCGATTGTATCGTCTGCTCGTCCTTAAAGGGCGATTTTTATGCCTTCTGAAGGGCAAACGACTGGAGATGCTCTAAATATCCCCGCTTCAATTCAGGAAGAACAGGTGGGCAGAAACTACTATTTCAAGTGCATTTCACTCATTTAAGCAAGTCAAAAACAGCTCCGATTGATTCGCACAAAAACAGCCGGTCCGACTCCAATCAGCTCCGAGTCACTCTGCAACAGCTTTATCCGGTCACCCGCTTTCAGCAACAAACCCCTTTCTCGCCCCCACATCATCTTCCTCCTCCTCCTCCCCATGACGGCGACATGTCCTCCGATCCAACCGCAAAAGCCGAGCGCCTCGCGTGCGGTTCCTTCCCACCCCATGCTCCCACAGCAGCTCCACCATCGCTAGCTCGGGGACGAGCACAAGCGTCAACACCGCAATGGCGGCACCCCCTCTCCTCCTGCTCGCGGCCCTCCTGCTGCTGCTCCCGGCCGCCGCGCGGTCCGCGCCCGCCCGCGTCTTCTCCGTCGCGGACTACGGCGCGGCGGGCGACGGGTCGCGCTACGACACGGCGGCCATCCAGGCGGCCGTCGACGCCTGCGCGGCGGCGGGGGGCGGCCGCGTGCTCCTCCCGGCGCCCGGGGACTACCTGACGGCGACCGTGCGCCTCCGCTCGCGCGTGGTGCTCGAGGTGGCCCCCGGCGCGCGGCTGCTGGGCGGGACCCGGCAGCGGGACTACCCGCCCGAGTTCCGCCGCTGGTACGTCGTGCTGGCCGAGAACACCACCGGCGCGGGCGTCACCGGCGGCGGCGAGATCAACGGCCAGGGCGGCGCCTTCGTGGTCACGCCCAGCGCGCAGAAGAACGTCATGGTCAGCTGGAACGCCACGGGGGACTGCCTGGGCGACGAGTGCCGCCCGCGGCTCGTCGGCTTCATCGACTCCAAGGACGTCGCGGTCCATGACATCACCCTCAACCAGCCGGCCCTGTGGTGGTCAGCTCTTCTTGCTCCCTAGCTTCGCTCTGATCCAACTCATAGAAGATACATTGGCAAAACCTATGTAGTGTAGTGTAGTCATGTAAATGCACTGACTTGTCTAATCCTTGCACGATGTCTGGAGTCTAAACTCAAATGATACTAGAATCAATTAAGTACACACATTCAACATCACCTGCTGTTATTAGTTGTTACTTGTTGTGGGTTCACTCGAGACAGATCGATATTTAGGTAGGATTGGGCGATATTTAGTAGTTAACCAACTACACACATTTGCAATCAGTTGCTGTTATTAGCTCTTACCTGTCATATGTCCACTACAGACTTAAACACACTTTGGTACAATCAGTGAACTAGAAAAAGGAAATTTTCTTTCAACGGTTACTTGATACGCTTGAATTCTCTGCAGCCTGCATCTTGTCAGGTGTGACAACTCGGTGATCCGCAATGTCTCTATATACGGGGATTTCGACACTCCTAACAATGACGGGATTGACATCGAAGATTCAAACAACACGGTCATCACCGATTGCCACATAGACACCGGAGATGATGCGATCTGCCCAAAGTCTAGCACAGGGCCTGTTTACAACTTGACAGCAACAAATTGCTGGATCCGTACTAAATCGTGCGCTATCAAATTTGGAAGTGCAAGCTTTTTCAACTTTGAGAAGCTGCTCTTTGACAACATTACTATAGTTGATTCACATCGAGGACTTGGAATGCAGATCCGTGATGGAGGTATTGCCTTTTTTGCTTCCAATTGTCAATGAACTGTCATACTATCAGGCGGCATAACTGAATATCTTATTAAAGAAAACTGCTATGTTGATTGCCACTTTGAGGCATTGGGGGGTGGGGGGCACCGCCCCCCTCCACTCCTAGCCCAAGCAATAGAAATAATTATCAGTTAGTGCTTGGGCTTAAATTTGTCTCTGGATAAAGTGTTGAATTGGTTTGGCACCTTGAATTTTTACTTAGCAGTGATCCTATGTTGTACTTTGAGCTATTGCTTTAATTAGTGGGTCATTTAAGCATCCTGATTTGGAGATACATAATTTTGCAGGGAATGTTAGTGATGTGACATTTTCAAACATCAAAATGCGGACTAGGTACTACCATCCTTCATGGTGGGGGAGAGCTGAACCGATCTACATCACTACCTGTCCAAGGCACCCTGATTCCAAAGAAGGCACCATTTCAGATGTTCGTTTCATCAACATCTCATCAGTATCAGAAAACGGTGTTTTCCTGGCTGGATCGAAGCACGGATTGCTTCGCAACTTGAAGTTCAAGAATGTTGAGCTGACCTACAAGAGGTGGACAAACTACACTGGGGGCCTGTATGACTACAGACCTGGATGCCGGAAGATGGTGAAGCACAAGACTGGCGGTATGATGCTGGAGCACATCTCAGGCCTGGAGGTTGACAATGTCAGCATGAGATGGTGGAGAGGAAGCCTGGAAGGGTGGGATGTTAACCCGCTCCTCTTCCGGCCATCCACTATTGACGGGCTGTCGTTCCACGATTGGCAATCGCTGGATGTTCAATAGCGGACCAGCTGAATCTCACCCTTATGTCGATATGTATCATGTATCCACGATGAATAAGCCACGATTCTTTGTGTGCTATCTTTGAATAAAAGATCCCAATTCAAAACAGCACACTTTGTTGATTTCTGCATACATGGGGTATTCTTTTGGGAAGAGTATAAATAAACGATCCAATCCCAAACAGCATGATGTACTCATTTCTGCTGTCTGCATATATGAAGGAGATTGCCTGGCTTGGCTGTGTTCTGGGCTTGAATTCAAGACTGTAGAGCTGATTCGTGTGAGCCGATTTGCACTTGTCAGTACTTATTCAAGTGAACCTTCCACCTAAAATGGACGAATAATGAAGTTTAGTATGCTGTGTTTGAAAGAGCTGATCAATGGCTTGTGTTTTGTCCTATTTTTTTTTTTCATGCTTCAGAATCATTTCTCCCCTATCAAAAGCCAGGTCAAGTAGATGGAGCTATTATCCATTTTTCAGATGTGAGCGTAGAAGTTTCTAGAAGTTTTTGCTGATATATTGACAAAGGAATTTCTTATCAGTATTTGAGATTAACAACACATGTTGTACAATAGTTTTGTGGAAGAAATATGCCGGCTTTATTAAATCATGACTCGCAAAAGAGCAGCCGTAGTACCAAGGTGAAGAGGCGACCAAAATCTAGGAGATAATTTACATATGTAGCTATTTTTTGTAAAACAATCTTAAAGCATATTCTCGTACATTTTTACATATATAAAGTTCTTAAAAAAATTTGGAGAGGGTAGAGCTATAGTAACTAAGTGAACAACCCGACTAAATGTACTGTAGTAAATGGCACACAAATCTAATATTGAAAAAATATGCTTGAAGCATATTCACATCTCATTTGGAGAGGGAATTCTCATATTTTTTTCGGCAGTCCTTAGTGACAATATTACTTTTTTTTGAGAGAATAGTGACAATATTACTTGCTACGGTCCAACCTCCGGCCCACTAAAGATCACCCACTTCTTCATAGTGTAGCCCAACACTGACCAAGTCCAGCCCACTTACACCACTCTCTGCAGCGTGAGCGTCCACACCCCAGCCAGCATCGTCTCCGCAGATCAGCAGCCCCCAAATCGGCGACCCCTCTCTCCGATCTCCAATCCTCCACCTCGCACACACGCACCAACCGGGCACGATGCGGGCGATCTCGTCGGCGGCGGGAGGGATGCTGCGGGCGCGGCTGAGCGCGGCGGCGCGCCTCCGCGGCGGGCACGGCGACGGCGGTGGCCGCTGGACGACGCCCGGCCACGAGGTGCGGCCCAAGGGGTACCCGATGAACCGCACGCCGCCGCCGCCGGGCGAGTCGCGCAAGTGGGAGGACTGGGAGCTCCCCTGCTACGTCACCTCCTTCCTCACCGTCGTCATCCTCGGCGTCGGGCTCAACGCCAAGCCCGACCTCACCCTCGAGACCTGGGCGCACCACAAGGCGCTCGAGCGCCTCCAGCAGCAGGAGCTCGCCGCCGCGTCCGCCTCCGCCGACGCCCTGTCAGAGTGATCCGCGCGCGGGCGCCCCAGGTCTTCCTCGAAACCTAGGTTGCTTCTGTTCTGTTTTGATTCCAATAAGGGTTGGTTGTGAACTTGTGATGTACCAATCTGATATTGATGGGACCTGGGCTGAACATTATGTTTCTGTTTCTGTTTTGTTGTTAAAATTTATCTGATGATGATGGCAGATGCCGTATACATTTCCAAATGCCCTGTCCCTAAAATATTTTGGAATGTCTCGGCATTGTATTATCTTGTGCGTCCCTTTTTTATTTCCTTGGTCATAATTTGCTACATGCTTTCGGGAGCGTAATTAGGACTGATTATACCTGTCTCTCTTCGCCTGATATGACTTGTTGCAGAAAATGAATAAATCAGTTGTCGCATTGAACAGCTTGAAATGTTGCTTGCTTGTTAGAACTTACAGGTGATGCTTGCTTTTAGAGGGCTTGGGTATTGTCTCTCTTCCTTTTCTTTTCCAATGATGAGTGGACACTCTGTCGATAGAAGAAAGGTTACACGTGATATGTTACTTCAGTAAATGATCAGGCCCTATCTTTATAAAAGATACAGGTAAATAGTATGTGTAGATTACTAAATGAAATTCGAGTCTTAGGATATGCTGTAAGCTTGGCCTTTATTTCTACTTGATAAAATATGAACAATTAGTTGAGTTTGTGTGATTGAAGTAGAGTTTGTTTGAACATTTGTTGCAAATTGTGATGAATCATTTTGTGTAACTCAAAGAGTTAAAATAGATACCATGAACAGTTGCACACTTGAATTTTGCTGATCCTGTGAAGGATGTATAACCCCATTCTATTTCTTGACACCATGGTTGGTGGTAAAATTGCTCTGGTTATTGGATTAGTAGCTAGTTAGGCGTGATAGTAAAGTCAGCAGGAATAACTTTGCACTATGTCTACTATAGTTATTTTCTTTTTTTATTCATACTTCCCAGAGCTTATAAATGCATTGATTTGTTTCATGTCAACTCGGCTATCAATTGTTCAACACAAACCTTCCACACATGCACTATCACTATCAAGGCACTATTAACTCTGAACAGTAGTCCCTTCTTCTTTATTTGTACTCTATTGTGCAGCTAGTTTGGTATTTGCCAAATTGAGGAAAGGAATGGGAGGGAGGGGAGGGCAAAAGGAGTGAGCGGACACGGGTAGAGGGTAAAGGGATAGAGTGAAATCATCTACTCCCTCGCGGACGTTTGACATTCAAAATTTGTCCACAAAAGAGTGTACTTCTATCTTCCCAATGCATTTTGAAGTAGAAAAAAATGCTTCTCTCTCATCACACAATAATCAAGACCAATAACATTCAACACATGGTCTCCTCACTTTCTACATGCACTTAGCTCATTGGAGGTGGGGTAATTAAAGAGGAGAGAGATGGTGGCTTGCACCTTCCCAGTGCATTTTTACTCCACTCCATAATCTGTCCTAAAATTTCTATATGTTCACTTATTCGTTCCTTAGTGGCTCATTCCCAGCTAGCCACTTCTCTGTGGTAAACTGGTTTATTCATTCTTGCCGAGATGGCGAAATAACATAAGATAAGACACATGTTCTTTGTAGGATAAACTAGCAAATAACTATCCTGACTCAAATAAGAGGCCAACTCCAACTCCCAAACCAACCAAAGAGTATATGATCTTAAGGATCTCCTAGTAGCTTCCCTACATTATGTACAATGTCAAGGAGACCTTGCCTCATTTGTTGCTTTCTTCTCCAGCTGCTGCACGTGTTGGCTTACAGCAGCTCTGATACATTGTACCCCAGAAGGAGTCCATATTGTTAGAAGCCCTAAGTTTAGGTGACCAAAGCCCAAGATGGTTTACCATCTCGTTTATCTTTGCCCACGAGATCATGAGCAATTCTAAACATGAAAACATAGAGATAATGCTTAAACAATGTTATAGGTAGTGGTTAGTGGCATAGGACATTGGAAATGACTGTTTCTTTATTCCTTATGATCAATGAAGGAGTGTTAACTGAACCAGTACGGTAGTTTGTTCTGTTGGAGAAGTGGCTGAGGAAAGGTTGTGTGACTGCAGGAGAGGTCTCAAACTGAATAGACCGTTTCATGGTTTCCGTGTTGTATCAGGTGAAATCCTGATGTAATTACTAGCTGATATTTGTGGAATGCCTTGTACTGGTAGATCAGAGGGGTCAAGATGAGTATCTGGATATAGCACCTGTCCCAAACCTGTTGTGTGATACCCAGAACCCCTATGTAAAATAGAAAGAAACCAAGGTACTCCTCATAGATAAACGATGTTATTGGTTTCTCAAAAGATTATGGGTGGAATAATTCATGAACTGGGCCACCTTTGTTGGAAAGAGAAATTCGGACGACTGAAATCTATCACTGCAGATGAACATTCTTGGCCATGCCTCATTGCCCCCCTAGTGTACTGTCAGTGTTCTTTTTCCTGTGACACTTAGTGTAAATGTCAATTATGAATACTTTAATTCATCAGGTTTATTAGTTTCACAAGTGATTTCCTTGAAGTGTGTGTACTGTGTGCGTCAATACTGCCGTTGCAACTTTGTTTACAGAAAATTCCTGCTTTCTTGAGAAAATATAGCTTACATTTTCACGCAATCAATGTTTTCTCTGACGAATGATATGTTAACAGGATATTTGACTATTTGAGTTCTGATTTTAGCAAGCATGATGCCATACTGTTTTTTATGAGCAAAACACGTGAGTTGAACCTAACTAAGCAGAAAAGAATGAGATGAATACTATGGCATATTGGCATTGAAATGTAAAGTCACGCAGATTCTCCTCATTTGTTGACTTGTCCTTGTCATATTACTTCAGCAAACTGATACTCCCTCCGTTTTTTTAGTCCGCATATAAGATTTGGTCAAAGTCAAGCTTTGTAGAGTTTGACTAACTTTATATTAAAAAATATAAACATTCACAATATGAAATCAGTATTATCAGACGCACCATGAAACATATTTTCATACTATATGGTTTTAGTATTGTAGATGTTCGTTTTTTTAATATAAATTTGGTCAATATAGTTTGACTTTGACCAAATCTTATATGCGGAGTAAAAAGAAGGGCACTGCTAGGCGCCAGCGCACCGGCCGAACGTTTCGGCCGGTCCTACCCTAGCCGCCCGATCGGCCCCTCCCAAGCCGTTAGATCCTTATCCATCCAGGTCATCTTCTTCCCTCAGGCTCGTGAGAAAAGGACCCTCCGCTTCTCATCAGCCACGCGCTCTCCAGTGGCCGCCCGCATCGCTGGTCCCCACCCTTGTCGGCCGTCCCTGTCGCTGGTCCCCGTCCTCGTTGCCAGGTCCCCATCCTTGTCGTCTGTCCTTGTCGCCGCCTCAACCCATGTAGCAGCTGCACCGGTGGTTGCAGCTCTCGGCAGCGACGCTCGTAGCTTCGGTGGCGACGGCCGCAGCTCGCCGGCGTGCTTGCCGCTGCTCATGCCCGTCCAGTCGCAGCTCATCGGTCACATACCTCGTGGTTGCAACCTCTCGCTCACCCTGTTCCAGCAAAAAATCTAGCTTCACTTCTGGCAAAAAAAATGCATCGTTGTTCGACGCAGCAAACCATGATTGCAGTTGTAGCTAGATATGACACCGGTCATAGCAAAATCCAGGACCGCTTGTAGCATGTAGCATGAAACCCACGACTTCCATCCTCGCCGAATGTTGCTTGGACTACTCGTGGGTTGAAGCTATTTTCAACTACAAATGAAGCTTATCTGTGAACGTTTGTAACTTTTTCCGTGGAGCAATGCCCGATTGAAAACTTTGTACATATTTTGGTTGAAGCTTTTTTCATCTAATTAAGGTTGGAGCTTTTTTGGTAACGGTTGCAGCTTTTTCAGTTTGAAAGTGTTTGTACATTGAAAAGCTTCATCCATGTTCTCGAAAAGCTGCAACCGGCGAGCGTGGTGACCGCGTCGGTTGCAGCTGATTGTAGCAAAATGAGATGCTGATTGTAGCACAAACGCAACGTGGTTGTAGCAAAAAAAATGCCGGTGGTAGCCAAAAAAACATCTTCGTCGCCGTCCCAACCCAGTCGCATCTCTGGCATGAACGGATGTAGCAAAATTTCTCGCCGGTCGTAGCAAAAACTGATGACGATTGCAGCAAACACTCGTCTCCGCCGTCGCGGATTGTAGCTCCGCCATGAATGCATGTAGCAAAAAATGATGCTGGTTCCAGCATGCCGCGACGCTGGTTCCAGCATGCGGCCGCCATGGTCGCATGCTGGCCGGTGGTGATTCTCCCACAGATGCATCTTCGCTGGGCTCCGGTTGCAGCTCCTTTTCCCAACCCCCATGTCGGAGCTTTTCAACGATCGGTTTGTGGAGAAGGAACTTGAAGACGACCACGCGGGGAAGAAGATAATGGAGGGCAGAGTACGACGCACCAGATAGGATGAGAGAAAGAAAAACAGTCATGGTGGGCCTAGGGCACGTGGGTGGGCCGAGGAAAGGAAAAACAAACAACGGAAAACATTGGCCTAGCGCTAGATCCCTTCGCGATCGAGTGGCGCGCGAGCGACCGGCCGAAGCTTCGGTCGGTCCACCGGTAGGCAACGTTTCCCTAAAAAGAAACAGAGGGAGTATAAGATGTGCTATTTTTTATGAATCAGATGTATATAGACATGTTTAATTGTGTTTATTCACTCATTTCAGTTCGCATGTAGTCCATATTGAGATATGGAAAACATATTATATTTGTGAATGGAGGGAGTATTAACAGCCATCCTAGTTTTATCTCAACACGTTAAAGATCTCATATCTGATGACATCACTGTTAACTAATGCCCTGCTTGGATTGGATGTAAATTTTATGTGCTGCCCAGTATTCAGTTCAAACTTGCGCTAAATATTGGGGAACACACTCATTTTACACTTAATCTATGGGCCCTAAGATGTTCCTTTACGCACTTGTGCACTCCCTCTGTTCTTTTTTATAAGACGTTTTGGACAGGTGACGCTTGACCTGTTTTCTGCTATCTGAATTGTCTAAATGTCTTATAAAAGGAACAGAGGGAGTAGTAAATTAGAGTGCAGACATTTACTTTTGCGTAGATCTGAAGACGTAGCATGTCCTCTATGTGCTTTTCGCCAGCGCTGGAGAGAGGGTAGAATGTCCTCCATGCACTTTTCGCCAGCGTCGAGGGAGAGGGGTATGAGTGATACGTCGCATTCGGGATTGGGAGGGATTGACTTAGGCTTGGGCCCTCTTTGAAATGGATGTAATTTATTTGTACCCATCGGTATTTAATTTAAGTTCGAACTAAATACCGATGGCCACACAAAATACACCCATTTCAAACAACCCTTCATAAGGCCAGTTAGGGTAATGTCTACTAAAGGCTCGAAGTGCAAAACTGCAAGCCCCAAGAGTTCAGACTCTGCTGGCAGTTGGCACACAAGACGTCAAGCTTCCAAACTGTCAGGTAATTTTTTTAGCTAAACTGTCAGGTACTTAGGTCCGACAAAACAAACCGCGAATGAGTTGGCCCATAAAAAACATCGAGGAGTAATAAGTGTTGAATTATAGATGGGCTTTGGCCCATAAAAAACAATAGTTCCTATTAATCCCATAGCATTGTCTCAAAAAAAAAATTAATCCCATAGCAGGATCAACAAATGATAACTCTTCTATCAACACAATTTGGGATCCACGCATCTTCCCAACTACTAGTATTATTTAACCATGCTTCGGAAATTGACTCCCGCATAATACTTGGCCTTTTTTTAGTTTTGCATTCAACATATCACCTTCCGAAAAAATACTTGGCTCTCAAGACTGTGGCAGTAAGAGAGTCTGGGTCCTCGAGGAGACACCACACTTGTTTATGAAACGCCGCCAAATTGAAACAATAGATATCATGAAAATCCACCACTCCTTGAGTTTTTGACACATATCTTTCACCAAGTCATCCAGCGTCCTCTTTTGTTTGTCCTCGTCACCCCATCAAAGATTCCTTTGCGAGTTTCTTTAAGGATTAAGCAGACATAGCATATGTAAAATAGCTTGAACAACATAGACTTGAGGAGAACTAACTTTCCTCCATGAGATAATATAAAATTTCGTTCAATCCATGTCTTTTTATGATAAAACGGTTGGTCTTGTCAAAAAAAAGAATGCTTCCAGTGCACAAAAACATGCTTCCATCATGGAAAGCATATCTTACTAAATAAATTATTCATTAAGAAAAAACATAATTTACAAAATTATTTTCAAAATAGCCTCATTTGTTCTTGAAAAGGAGACCGGACGTGATTCTAAGAAACAAATACTAGGAAACAAATCAAAATTAACTAAGACCAAAGCATTCTCAAGGGGAAGCTCCCATTCAACGCCCGATAGGACGCTAGGGAGTGGTAGTCCGATTACCATACCTAAACCCCTTGGATTTGATTTTATGGCAACGGCTGCAGAGCTTCTTCACACTCAACTGAACCGTGGAGGGAACTTTCTCCACGACATATTTACCAATAACCCCCAGCCCTTTGTGGGCGTGCATGATCATACTCCTGCTTTTCGGGTTGCATTCACCTTTTTCCCCGACACAACATCTTTCAGCGTCTCCATAACTACTATTGTCGTATATGGCGTCCAAGGTAAGGCGCTCGAGTGCAGTCGCATTCTCAAGAATATGGCAGGTTAGTTCGGCCATGCTCTTTGCAGAGCAGAAGCCCATTATCCTGACATTCTTGACGCTGCAATGGAGATGTCCTGGCATCCTTCTCATGTTCATGTATCCATCAGAAATCAGTTCATGCTTTACTCGAGTCTGTGATACCTGCATCCATAGGAGCAACACACGAGTTAAATGGTTCCACAGCATGCAGATACTTGATATCATGGTTGCAAGCTAGAGGAGAAGTGACTTACACCCAAGACAAACTTCTCCAGAACAGGACAAGCATCCAGGAAATAAGCTAGAGAAAAATAATCATAGGATGGGGAAAAGCCCCCCTATCTGCATTAAGATCAATCAGCAGGTTCTTCAGGAAGAGGAATCTGACAGTTAAGATTGGTGTATTAAACATCTGCATATAGATCTTGGTTAAATACTTTCTTCCCTTAAAAAAGGTTAAACATATTCAATGGCACGACTACAGCTATATATATATATGAAACAATACCTGTCTCTGACAATCAAATCTACTGCTAGTCATCCTTGCAAAAACAATAATGGGAAAACTAAAGTTTGAGAATATACCTCTCCAGCCGAAGATAGGTTGAGGGTTTCAAGATTTGGCATAATGAATGGAAGCTTGGAACGAGCATCATGAACAAGGTCAGATTCGTAGTAATCCAACATGTGTAGTCTCTTCATTTGCAATAAATCTCCAACCGGAAGTTTCTCTACAGCACCATCAATGCGAACAAAGCAAAGATTTGGAGCTCTATTCTCTATCACTTCCAGAGACTTGCAATGAAACACTGACAGGCAGCTGAACCGATGTAGCAGGCAAGATATCTTGAGGCGAATTATCTTATGACAACTATTGAGACACAACTCTTCCATAGCAAGAGAATTGGACAGAAGGTGCCCTAACTCATCTCTCGTGATGTGCACCTCCAACAGAAACAGCCTTGTCAAGCAACGAAGCCCGACCGTGGGATGGAAGGCGCAACGGCTGAGGTGAAGATGTCGAATCGAGTTTCCACTCCCGTTGGATAAAACCGGGCATGGGAACTCGTAACGAACCGCGGTGCGTCCTAGAGGCATTGAAAGTTTGACCTCTTCAATCCCCGTAGTAACAGCAATCTCAAGCCACCTGTTGAGATAACTGGTGTCCAGAAAAGAACGAAGGTAATTATAACTAAGGTTGAATGTCTTCACGCCGCCTGAGTGTTTTCTCATAATGCGGTTGACTCTCTTGGTGAAAACCCGTGCCAGTTTATCTTCTCTGCATGTATCTCCATCGAGGCGCAGCGTTTCCATACTTAAGGTGAGGTTAGGATGGGATCTCCAGGAGCTTCGAAATGTTTGAGACACACAGCCAGCTCGCGCAGCATCTGCCAGTGGCAGAAGGGACAGTATATGATGCCAGATGTCCTGCAAACACAAGAACAGGAGAAAAGCTAAGCAAGTGGATCCTTTAACCAGGGGGGTAGGATCATATGCAATAGAACTGTGTTATTAGTGTCTTTCCTAAAAAAATGTGACTTAATGTTGATTAATAAACAAGTAAACATCGGTATTACTTGTTCCTAAAAGGCATAACACTGAAACTAGGACAGAATGTGGAGAAGCACACCATCTACTACTTTCCCTGCAGAACCATGGTTGCGGTAACAACTTCAACAGTGTAGTGAAATATCACACTTGCGCTTCTGCAGCTCTCAAAGTGCGTAGGTGTACTGCTTCTGGCTTCTATCACGTCTTGTTTTCCTTTTTACTTCGGCGACTAAGATACAATCGAAATTGCTCAGCTTGTTGGCTTTGATTTCGTGACCCAGGAAAGGAGGAACCACCTCAGTTAAGCAGAGGCCGTCAGTTAAGCAGCAAGAATGACAGTGAACTGAGACTAACAGTAAGTGGAGTCCTAAAATAATGTTGTCACAACTTACAATTAGCCTAGGTCACAGTTCCAACAAAATATTGAAATAGAGTGGCTGGCAGTGAATATCCGTATTCGATCGGCTAGCTGGGAATCCTCCTCGGCGTTCTGCTGGCTTGGCGTTGCGTACCTTTGGAAGATCCGGCGCTGAAGATCTCAATCGCGTGCGGCCTTGGGCTTAGGGATCATCGTCATGCTCACCGGGCGAGCCCTTCCGTTTAGCCGCTGATGATGAAGCAGTCGACATTGTACCTAGGATAGGGCACATGCACATCATCCATGGTCATGAATAGTGCAGACATTAACGGGAAGAAACAGCAGGGCGCAAAGTGCGCGCCGAGAGGGAAGGGAGGGGCGAGATCCGACTTACTACCACCACGGGGTTGGAATTTCACCTCCTCCTGGAGCCGCCGAGCCGACGCGGGAGATCGAGGCCAGCAATGGCAGCTTCGATTTGAATCGGGGGAAGGCGATTCGCGGGAGAGGAGATCGGTGCGGTGCCGCCGCGCGCCACGGCAGGTAGCGTCAACCAAACCCAATGGCGTGGACGAGGACGAGATAGCTGCTGACTTCGCGGGTAGGCCTTGCTGGGCCTCGACCTCGTCCTGGAGGCCTGCCTTTACCAGCCCAATGGGAGCCATCCTATTCCCGTTGAGAAAACAAACTAGACGATAGTCTTGGATGGATACTTTTTTTTCTTTCGAAATTGGTCTTGAATGGACACGTTTTTACACGCTTGCTTCGATACCTCTATATTCTGAAGAATAGGTCCTAAAATGGTCAATCGATTGTTTTCTCAACGGGAATCGAGGAAATGGCAAGGGTTTGAGTATAGCGAGCTGAGGAATAGTTTCATTTATCAAAAGAAGCCTATCGACTTGTGCCGTGAATTTTTCCAAACAGCTTGCTTATTCTTTTTTTAGGGGTAACAGTTTGCTTAGTACATCACTCAGGTGTAGTAGATCTTTTCCCCTTTGTCGCTTTATTTCTTTTGTGATGAAACGCATCTGCTTTGCTTAGTACTACAGCCTTTTGGATCTAGGAATGTCACACGTTTGGCAGACCAATCTTGGTATGAGTACAGTCGTCAACTTTTCGGTTCTCTAGATCCAAAGGCATGGCATGTCCTCCGCGCTTTTGAACATGGCTGCCAGTCCTTTATTGGATCCATCTCATGCACGTCTTAGAGCGTGGTTAATAAAATAGCCAACAATTCAGAGTTGTTATGTTATATAAAGCCAACCTAATAATTGGCATGTACGATAGTAAATTTTAAATATGTACCATTTTATTAATAAGGGGCCCACCTTACAATCTCACTAAGTGCCTTGGGACTCGAGCTATAGCTGGCTCTCATTCTACAGCCCGCTTTCATTCTCTCTCATCCAATTAAGCAAAGATATAATATTTAAGTTCTTATAGCATGCTTATGTCATTTTATTGTACTTGCTCTTACTACTCTACTACCATCAGCATTCTAAAGTTGAGCATCGTAGAAGATTATCCCCAAACTGGTGAATTCAGTAATGTTTTATCCTCAAGTTTTTATCCTCGGTCTTTTCTTGCGCCAGTAGTGTCTGGGCATCTGGGCCGATGACGCTCCAAATGATTGTTCTCCTACAACAGGGTTTCATGAATTATTCTTTTAACAAGTATTTTTACCTATGGATGTAGAGGCAGTTTTTAGCATATCATTGTGTACATGTAACATAGAGGATTTGTAGGCTTGGTATTTTGAAAATAAAAGGGAATGTTTAGCATCAGATCAGCTTACCAGATGCTTGTGGAGACAAAGATCAGTCGTGAGAATTTGCTGGAGGGTGTGTCAGGCTCTTCCAGTTCGGAGCAAGTAGCAAAAACATGGACAAAACTATGGAAACTGTCGGTTCCTTCTAAACCGAATATTTTTGTGTGGTGGTTTGCTCACCAGTCCATACTTTCAGCAGATGTTTTGCACCATAGGAAGTTGTCAACGTCTAGTGCATGCGCTCTTTGTGGTTGCGCCGATTCATGGCACCATTCACATATTCACTTCTAGAATGTATAGTGGCAATGTGCGCTTGGGCATTATCGGGTGCAAGTCTAACTGAACATATGATTTCATACAACGAGCCCAAAATGCCAAACAATGGTTGTTCTTCATGAATGATACCTTGTCGGAAGAGGAGTTTACAAGGATGATCGTTACCTTGTGGGAATTTTGGACTGCGAGATGATAGGCAATCTATGATAGTATATTCGAAAGTTCTGAGCAAAATCACCGATTCGTTGAGTCATACTTGTTCGAGCTAGGGACAATTCAAGCTAAAACTGTTCGGGTGCAATTTTCACCGGCAAACAGGGAAACAAGGAGGCGTTGGGTTCAACCAAGTCCGGGCCATGCTAAAGTGAATGTTGATGGCGCCTTCTCTCGGGATGGCATTGTTGGAGCGGCGGCAACCTTCTGTAGAAACAACTAGACGATTACATGGGGGCGTTTGTCATTGTTGTAGCCAATGTGACTGATCCAACTAGTTTGGAAGCTCTGGCATGTCGGAAGAGTCTCTCTCTTGCCAAGGATCTCAACCTTGCAAGGGTTCACCTGGCCACCGATTGCCACGGGCCGGTGGAAGAAATCAAGAGGGGCTCCAGCGCGAGCTACGACGCAATCATTCAAGAGGTTCAGCCTAGACAAAATTCTTTTACAAGTTATTAGTTCATCTATGAAAGTGGAACTTGTAACTTTGAGGTGGGCGACACATTTGACTCGATCTTCCCTATGATCCAGTCACCATACCTGTGAACATTTAGCAAGAGATTTAATGAAAGCGTGTGTTTGCCTTAAAAAACTAACGCTGTAGGCATGAGATAATTTTTCTTTTAACGCACTAAAAGAGCAGATGCTCGCGCACATACACTCAACTCTAGGAACACATGCACCGATACATCTTTTCTCATTGAACAACACACATCGACGAAAAGTCTGAAATAAATCTAAAAAATACAGCCACCAATATCAAATCTAAAACTCAGACTATGATGATTTAGTTTGAACACAAGGAACCTAATCTTGTGAGCCACACCCAGTTATCATAGCCAGTACATATCGCCTTGGATGCCGTTCAGCCCCCATGGCACGATTACTGTCACATGTCAGAACTTTTGCTTTAGTGTGTGGGGCGATACGTTGGACGCTTGCACATGCGCGAGTACTGGTCACAGCAGCAGTGATTGCAGGCAAGACTGTTAAGGTGTTAATGATCTGATGCTATGCTAGCCAGCTACCGCCCACTGTCGCCGTGCCCCACTCTAGATGGAGACCGGTTAATCCATCGGACCGTTGGCCTCTCCTTTTCCTCCGGTTTGAAATATCCCTGTGCCTGCCAGCCGGTGATAGAAAATGAGCAATGTTTGCAAGTCCTGAGTGTAATCCGGGTATCTGACCCTGGATGCTCGATAACGAAAGGAAATTGTTGTCGAGCACCAAAGCGGAGTGTCGGTAGCTTGTCCTCGTCTCTTTTTTTTTGTCCTTGTCCTCGTCGGAGTGTGGACGCCACGAGTGAGGCCCTCCGCTCCGGCCGGGCCAAAACTTTTTGTCCCCAAGCCGCAGCGGGCCTTTTTGATCCAATGAAGCTCGTCCAAGCGCATGCATACTCTTCCCATCTCTTGCTTGAGAACATTCCATCTCTCCCGGCAACATACATGCATCATCCCGGTCACATGGGGCGGGCCCGGCTCGCAGAGAAGCACTGTGATTTACTCCGGTGGTGGTCGTTAGCGGTCCAGGTTGCAGACAGCTAGCTACCATGGTCTCGCCATGCGTCCATGTACTGGAAGCATGGTCTCGCCATGCTCCATACCCATGCGTCGGGATGTACGGTACCGCTCTCAATTATTTCGTACGTATATATAAGCTTCCAAAAACTCCTTGGACATGGGGTGAAGCTGGGAATAGGACAATATCACTTGTCAGCTAGTGAGTGAGAGTACCGTAACATTTTCCCTCTCAAAACAGACTTTCGTCTACAGATAAAATACAAACCAAAGTACACGGTCAAACGGCATACCCTATTTTTTAATAGTTGTAGTTCATTATATGTTTTTTTCTCTTCATGCAACTATGCCACATCATCAAGTCATGCATGTGGTTATAGGTTACAATTTATGCACTAATCTATCAAGTCATGCATGTGGTTATAGGTTACAATTTATGCACTAATTTATTCATGCAACCATGCCACCTCAGTAATCATGTATAGATTTGTTTCACTAATTTTTGTGCACAACATAGACTGTCAGGTTACACATTTCTGTGTCATGACCTACATATATTTGTATGTTAGACGCTTGGAGCAAATATATGTAGGTCATATTACACATTTTTGTTAAAAATGACACCCCGTTTGACTTCAATCCAATAGATTTCTCTTTTTATATACTCCATTTGTCCCATAATATAAGATCATTTTTTACATTAGGGTAGTGTCAAAAACGTTCTTATATTATGGGACAGAGGGAGTAACATTTTGTGACATGCTTCATATACTTTATTATTTTTAATAGTTTTAGGCTTTCAACATCTATTTATGCAGTAGTTTTAGGCCTTTAACATCTATTTATTACCTTTTGCAATTGTTTTAGGCTGTTAACACCCCATTTGACCGAGAGCATTCTTAAATTTGTTTTTGCAATAGTTTTAGGATTTTAACATCTATTTTATG